CGGGCCGGATCCGGCCCGTTTGAAATGAATAAAACTAAAAAAAAAAAGACCGTACCCTTTTATGTAATGATGTTTACTTTGAATTTTTATATTAGTACACCAACACTCCATCCATGCTTTTGTTCCGGCCCTCCGGTCCAGTTTAAGAACCCATTGTGGCCCTCGAGTCAAAAAGTTTGCCCACCCCTGCGCCTAGTCCCTCTGAGTTCCTTCTTTCAATGAACCCCTTTAAGAGTCCTTCTCTCTCCGAACCACCTCTCCTCTAAGAAGCCCTTACCCCTCCTCACTCTTTCCTGAACCTATTCAGAGTCCCTCCACCCTATAAGCTTCCCTCCCCTCCAGACATGCCTCCTGGTCCTGAGACCCCTCTCTCCTCTCTGAACCTCACCTTCCCTCTTCACAGAATCCTTGTTTCTCTCTAAACCTCTCTCCTTCCTGGCATACCCACACCAGCCACTACCTCCACTCAGCCCTTGCTCCCCCAGTGACACTTCTCTCTTCCTTACAGGGTACATGCAACAACTCGCCTTCAGACAACCCAACAAGGCCTTTTCGGCCTTCCTGCATATGAAGTCCAGCACCTGGTGAGCCTGCTCATCCTTGGCCCTGCACCCCTTGAGCAGGGCCTGGGCCCTGGCCTGGGGTGATCTAGGCTGGCCTCCCCCCCACACACAGCCCTGTGCCTCTGGACCCCTCCACCTTCAGAGTCAAGGTGCCCACTAGCTGAGTGACCTACCATCACTAAGCACTGCCTACAAGCAACATTGGGTCCTGAGACCTGGCCCGGGATACTGGGCACACCTGAGCAGGCCCTGCCCCTCTCTGCTCCTTGCTTGGCTGGGATGGCAGTCTCTGGATCCCAGAGCCAATTGGCTCATGCTCTGTGCCCACCCCCAGGCTGACAGCCTACGTGGTCAAGGTCTTCTCTCTGGCCGCCAACCTCATCGCCATCGACTCCGAAGTCATCTGTGGGGCTGTCAAGTGGCTGATCCTGGAGAAGCAGAGGCGTGATGGAGTCTTCCAGGAGGATTCGCCCGTTATACACCAAGAAATGATTGTAAGAGGCCGCATTCAGGCCAGGCTGGGGGAGAGGAGTGCCTGAGTGCCCCCCCGCCATGAACAGGAGACAGGCTCCGTCTGCCATTTGCCCAATTCCCAGCGTGGGAGGGACAGAGAAATAAAGGAGCCACGATGGTCACTTCTCCTTTGCAAAACCCAGAGACCTCAGGGTCCAGTGCAAAATGAAAGTTCCCTAGTCCCCCATTGCTTTCATTAAATCTGAGAAGTCCTTAGAATTGTGGTTCTCAAACTCTGGTCTCCAGGACAAAAGCGCCAGCATCAGCTGCAAGTTTGTTAGAAATGGACATTCTTGGGCTGGATCCCAGATGCATGAATCAGAAACTTTGGGGGTGGGGCCTAGGAATCAGGGTTTTAATAAACCCCTGACTCAAGGTAATGCTGACGTGTGCTCAAGTGAGTGAACCACGGCTTCAGCCTGACCTTCGGGCTTCCAGCCTTGCAGCCTTCCCTCTCCACACTCCATCTGTACTGCCTTGAGCCTTGCTCCCGGGAACAGGGCCTTTGCACATGATGTTCCCACTGCCTGGCACGTTATCACTGCCCTCTTTGACAGTTGAGTCCTACGCACTGTTCAGATTGTGGCTCCATCTGTCATCCCTTGGGGACACCTTTCCAACTGCTCTGACCAAGACACACCCCCCACTATCCATTCTCACCGCCACATCCACTTCTGCACAGCACTCATCAGTTTGTAACAATAGATCTGTGATGAGCTGGTTGGCTGATGCCTGTCTCCCCTACGAGATGGGGAGCTCCATGAGGGCTGGAGCCATCATACCCACAACACCAGCAACATTTACAGAATGAGTGAGTGAATGAATGGATACTAGATATGGCCGTCCTGTGAGACACTGGGGAGAGAGCTACCCCTGCCCTGCCCCGCTGATCCTACAGGGGGCATGGTTGGCATGAGGGGCACACGGGTTACCGAATCCTTATTTCCTGCTCCACACCCTAGGGTGGCTACAGACATGCTGAGGAGAAAGATGTGTCCCTCACAGCTTTTGTTCTCATCGCACTGAAGGAGGCTAAAGATATTTGTGAGAGACAGATCAATGTAAGTGTGCGTGCCCTTCTCCGCACCCCCCGCCTTCAGGCTGACGGGTGACTGAAGCTTCCAACCTCTCCTTTTTTCTTTTTTTTTATTCTGGGATTTATTTACCTTCTATAGCTGTCACTGGAGCTGAGAGCCGGCTTTAGCTCTGAGGCCGGCTCCAGCTTGCGGCCTCGGCTGCTGAAAGCAGGCATCTGGGGTTTGTTTGGCTTCTATAATTGAAACACTGTTGTAGCTCCAGCTCTGAGGCCTCCGCTGCTGAAAGCAGGTATCTGGGGTTTTTTTAGCTTCTATAATTGCAACATTGATTCTTAGAGTGCAGCTCAGAGCCTGGCCGCGGCAGGGGGGAATCTTGGCTTCCTCCATCACTGGAGCATGCAAGCCTCCTATTTGCTTCAGCTGCCTGGCTGCCGGCTGCCATCTTGGTTGGCAGTTAATTTGCATATCACCCTGATTAGCCAATGGGAAGAGTGTCGGAGGTACGGTTAATTACCCTATTTGTCTTTTATTAGATTAGATTTATTGTATTATTTTATGAACAAACAACTATAAACCTACTTTTGCTCTACCCTGTAGATGGCGGGAATTATTTTAAGAATCTAAGAATTTATCAAGTGCAAGGATGAAAGGAATCTTAGGGGCTCGACCAGGATGCTTTGTTCCTCTTTCCTGTGTCCTTCATGCCCTTTTTGCCCAATAATTCAGCTTTCCTGCCACCCAGCCTACCTGGCAGAACAGAATTACCTTCCTTGGGGAAATTCCTAGCCCAAGGCTAGATCTTCCAGATTCTTAGGAAAGGATTCTGATTGGCTCAGCCTGGGTCAGGTGATCACTTCTGGATCAATGAGCTGAGACCAGGAAGTAGGTCTTCCTGGGTAAATATGACTGTTCCACTGTGGCCATGTAAATGACAGGAAAGAGAAGGTCCTACAAAAGTCAAGGGTGATTATATAGGAGAAACAGAGGGCAAGCAAAAGGATTAATTTCTACTATAACATAGTGACATTTTCTACTACAACACAGCACCCTTATAACAGAGTATGGCATAGGCTGTGGAACTAGACTGGTGGGATTCAAATAAAGAGCTTGCTGGAATTACCTTGATAAAACAAATGGTTAGTATTCCAGGAATATTGCAAGTTGATTGTTGAATGCAATCATTATTAAATATTAAAGTATATAAACTTACATTTAAATAAATTAGTCTAAACACTACACATAAAAATAAAGGTAGTAGCCCTGGCCAGGTAGCTCAGTTAGTTGGAGCATCATCCTGTTATGCCAAGATGCAGTTCAATCTTCAGTTGGGGCACATACCAGAAACAGCCAATGAATGTATAGATAGGTGGAACAACAAACTGATTTCTCTTTCTCTCCCCGCCCCTCTCTCTCCCTAAAAATCAATTAAGAAAAACAACAACAAAACAACAACAAAGGTAGTAAACCCTCAAAACTCATCACTTCATAATTATTTTTTTATTCTTTTTAAAAAAATATTATAATAAGTATTACAAAGGGTATTACATATGTGTCCTTCCACCCCCCCGCCCTTACTTCATAATTATTTTACTACCTTTTATCATTATCCATGATCTTGAGGTTATTTATGTCTGTTCACATATATGGTGAACAAACTATATGATCTCTTCCCAATTCTACAGTCAGTGACTCCGTGCTGGTAGGTTGAAATCAGCCATGGTTGTATTTACACTATAAAATCACTACAAAGCATATTTGCCTCTGCACCTCATCTCATGGATCTCAGTATTCTCCTCTGTGCAGTAGGGATGATAATGAAAATAAAACCTACCTCATAGGATTTTGAGATTAAATGAGTGGATATGTGACTAGCACATAGAATGTGTTAGCTACAATGACGATGATGATTAGATATTAGGTGGACCCAGTGGTGTGTTAACCCTGAGTGCCTATTTGGGGCATCTCTTTCCAACTCTATGTTAAGGTATGTCACACTGGTAGCTTGAAATTGGAATGGTGGGAGTATTTACACCACAGTCATTGCCAAACAATAAACGAGCTCCCCTAACCCCCACCTCCTGCACTGACTAGACAACTGGTTATTAAATATTTACTAGCACACCACTGGTATACAGACTGCACTAGGAACATGATAGGTACTCAGTAACAGAGCAGTGCACAGTGGCTAAACTGTCTGGGGAACCCTTAAAAATAGACAGATCCAAGACAAATATGTAGCAAGGCCAGAAACCTTATGATTAGGAAGTGGTGACTATGTGATCCTTGTCAGCTCTCTGGGGCAGCAGTGCCACCTGACCAGAGAACCCAATCTTTTTCTCATAGAGCCTTGGGGGCAGCATCAATAAGGCCGGAGACTTCCTTCAAACACACTACATGAACTTGAAGAGACCATATGCTGTGGCCATTGCTGGCTATGCCCTGGCCCAGTTGGGCAAGCTGGAGGGCCCTCTCCTCGACATATTTCTGAAAACAGCCACAGGTGAGAGGCAGCCTGGCGGGGTAAGGAGAGATATGTGGCTAGGGGGTGAGGGTGGCCATCTTAAGCCGGGCTGCATGGCTCCAAGCTGAGCTGGGAAGAGTGGGTCTGGGTGTGAAAAGTCCTCATTGTAAGCATGACACAAAAGGTCCATTGCACGATTCAACAAATATTTGTTGAGTACTTGCTATGACACAGGAGCAAGGACATGGGCTCTGACATCAGACAGATTCAAGTTCAAAATCATATCACCCTCTGCCACGTTCTCAAGGTGTGATCTTGCACAATCCACTTAACCTCTATGGACATTGTGTATAAAATGATAACGACATCACAAGATTGGTGTGAAGATTAAATGAGTGATGAGTGTAGGAGAAGGTCTAGCAAATAGTTAGAGATCTATCACTAATGTTGTTATTGCCTTTGGTATTATTAATAACATTACCATTATTTCAAGGGTTATTAGGATTAGAGAAGAGAATGACATAGGAATTTTAGCACAATAAGTAGCACAAGTGATGACACCCTATCAGGTTTATGCTCACCTCTGTAACATATCTGAATGTATACTGAGGTAGTTTAACACAGGGAAGTTGGTTTCTTGCTGTGTAACAGCACAGGGTGGGTGTCCCAAGTTGGTGGACAGCTCTCCTCTATACAGTGATGCAGGGATCCAGGCTCTATCTTCTCATGGCTCTGCCACCTTGGGGCCTCGCAATCCCTTCTATTAAAGCAGAAGGGGAAACAGTCAGGAAGAGTGTCCAAGGGAGGTAGACCAGCCATGGAAGGGGCCCTGTCAATTGTTCTGTACATTCCATTTGCAGAGCTCAGTTATGTGGCCATACCTACCTGCAAAGGCCTCTGGGAGATGTTGTCCAACTCTGTGCCCAGGAAGATGAGGGAATGGTTCTTGGTGACAGTCTGTCATGAGTAGTTTCTTAGGCACTTGGGACATCACAGTGAATATAGCACTGCCCCTGCCATCATGGCCTCACGTTCCAGTTGAGGAAAGAAATTGAGTTAATAGATTCCTGTAGAGCATCATAGTGCTGGGACAGGAGAAGCACAGGATGCGTTAACGAGTGGTTAAGAATTAACCTGCGGTATGTGGAGAAAAAGTGCTCCAAGATGGGGCAACAGAACAAGCAAAGGCTCAGAGGTGAGAATGAGCATGGCAAACTTAGGGAATCTGCTCCCATAGATCAGAGGGGCTTTGGTTCAGAATTTAAACAGAAGAGTAAAGGTTGATGAGGGAAGAGAGTAAGGCAGGACCCAGCAGACAGAAAGCCACAAATGTGGGCCAGGACACCTGAACAC